AGTTGCTCATGAAGCTGGAGACCATCTGCCACTCGGTAGCAGGTCCGGAGTGTTTCCGAATCCAACACGAACACGAACACGGCATTCAATTTTTTTAACACCAACACGGATACTCCACTTTATCTCTGGATCCCATAGCTTCAAAACACGCGCGACTGAACCTCCATGATGAAAACGTCTCACTCCTCGTCAACCTCATCTAGCTCACAGGGCATAAGATCGCCCTGATCATTAGCCTGAAGCTGAAATCCGAGCTCTAGGGTTCTCCGAGCTTGATAAACTTCGCGGTGTCCGCGGCTCAGTCGAGGATCCTCATCGTCATCTTGTAACATTGGTAAGCTACTGCATTTCTGAAACCTTTGTCTTATGGCTTTTTTTACGGGACGTTTATGGTCTTCCGAGGAGCAAAGGCACGCCGTGCTGTGGCTGGAGCGCTAGCCGATGCACGGGGCTGTGCCGGTAAGTGGGCGATAGCCGGAAGCTAAATCTCTGCAAGATCATGGCCATGGCGACCTTGGCCTCGATCTGTGCGAAGGATTGGCCCAGGCACACACGCTGGCCTTGAGAAAATGGGAGAAACGCGCATGAGTGGTGGCTCTTGGAGGCGCTGGAGATGCCATCCGCGAAGCGCTGGGGATTAAACTCGTTGGCGTCGTCGCCCCAGATGTCCTTGTCGTGGAGGAGGTAGAGGATGGGGATGATCACTCCGCTTCCTTCCGGGAATGACAAATGCCTAAGCTTGGCATCTTTGTAGCAGGTCCGGACGTTGAAAACGGCAGGAGGGTACAAGCGCAAGCTCTCGTTGAGCACCATCCCGACCTGGAGTTCCGCCAAAGCTATGGGGTTTAGGCAAGTCCAAGGAAGATCAAGAAGAACTTACAATCTTTAGCTTGCTCAAGCTCTCAGCGTCTGGTGCTTGGGACTGGCAGACTTGGCGGACTTCCTCTCGGGCTTGCTCCTGCCAGGAGGGATTTGCGGCGAGGAGCATCATCGTCCATGCCAGCCACTTAGCCGAGGTCTCCTGTCCCGCGATGTAGAACGTCTTGCATTCTTCCATCAGGCTGTCTGTGGTGAAGGAGAGCCCGGTTTTGTCGTCGTGGTGCCCGGCATCAACTTCGTCCAGCATAATCCCGAGCAAATCACTTCCATAGTTGTCGATCTCTCCCGCCAACTTTTGATCTCTTCGCGCTTGGACAATCTCTTCTAGCGTCGAGCGGAGCTTGGAGTTGGCAGTTTTGATTTCCCTGTTAACTTTGCAGATCGGAAGCATGCTGTGGCAATGCGTGAATCGTTTAGCAAGTGGAAAACACGTCTATATGTACCTCTGTATCCATGGTGATGAGAACTTCTTGTAGACAAGCCCTCCCACTTGATCCAGCAGCTCGAAAACTTTGTGACCCTTCTTATAGCTGCTGCCAAACGCTGCTCGAGATATGATGTCCGAAGTTAGCGTCGTGAGTTCCTTGCAGACTTCCAGTTCGATGGGCTCGTCTTTGCCTACTGTGAGAGCATTCCATTTCTCCAGCATTTCTGCTACGCAATCTCGCATGCCCCCTACCATGAACTGTGCCAAGAGAGAAATAAAAAATAAAAAACAGATCTCTAGACGTCCAGAAAAATTCTAAACTGCAGTTGCTTGCCTTGATCTTCTCTGCGTGAAAGGCAGGCGCGAGGATGCGACGCCGGAAGGCCCATTCGTCTCCATTCACGACAGCGAGGCCTCGGCCCAGAATATCGACTTGGAACTTTCGCTGCCACTCCGGAGACCAAAACGCTCCAGATTTGTTGTAGAGCACCTCTTTGATCATGTCAAGGTCTGTAAGAACAACGCCAGGCTCGGTTCCCCACCACCACAGCAGAGGAAGTCCTGCAGGAAATGTTTTGAAAATTTGCTAGAGAAATTCACAACAAAAAAAAAAAAAAAGGCATAGCTTTAGTACCATAGAGTTTTGCCCAATGGAGGAGGTGTGGCTCGACGTATTCCACAATGTCGTGAGTGATCGGCCCTTGGATGCATTCGGCCTCTGTACGAGCGCGCATTTGGAAGATCTCGTAGACATTTCCAGAGAGAATCGACCTGGGCGGGCCGCGAATGCCCTGCTGCCGCAGCTTGGCCTCCAGGATCCAGGGCTTGAGCAACAGCTTTGCCGCTCCCTTCCATACCAGAGCTATGCACAACGCCGCGATCGTCCATAGCCATACCGCCATGGATGAAAGATTTGGGAGATTTCCTTGGATTGGCAGGTTAAAAGAAAAAGATTGGGGCTTTTTTCTTCTAGTAGCCAAGTCAAAGAACGTAGCCAATCAAATCTAAAAAAAAAATGTAGTTTAGGAATTTGTGCATGCAAATGTTTTTTTTTATGGTGTGTGAACAATTGAATTTAGTTAATTTAACATAAATTAGAACAAAATGCATTTAACATAAATTAGAGCAAAATTGTTAATTAGTATATTTGCTTTTAATACTTCCAAAAAACTACATTGCAATTGGTATTTATTAAAACTATTGAGCACTTTAGAATTTTAAATATAAAAGTTTTCATAAAAATAACTCTAAAGCTTTCCAAAAGAATGAAAAATAGTATAATTATTTAAATTGGAAAAATATGCATTCAATATAAATTGAAGCAAGATTGTCAACTAATTTATTTGCTCTTAATGTTTCCAAAAGATTATATTGAGATTAGTATTTATAAAAAACATTGAGCAATTCAAAATTATAAATATAAGGGTTTTATGAAAATAATTTCTAAGCTCTCTGAGAGATATAACAATGAAGAGTAGTATAATTAGCTAAATTGGAAAAAAAAATTTAAAAAAACTATTAATCTATCTAAATTACTACAATTATATTTCTCTTTTTTATAATTTTAAGATATGACAAATAATTTGTGATTGTAGGTTTTGGGGGAAAGTACACCTCCCAAGAAATGTATAAGTCTACAAAATATATAAAATTAAATCACTTGAATTGGTATAACACATAAGTGTGACTAACAAAATAATATTTTCCATATAACGTTTTTATAAAGTATATAACCATTTTTAATTATTCTCACATCAACATCTTCTTCTTCATCTTTTAGTTTAACAAAAATACACAATGAAGTGATTAATCTATTGATTTAATTGGAAGTCTAGTTAAACCAAACATCATGCCAAAAGAGTGTTAGCCATGGGTTTCACCACTTTCCATTGGATGTTATGCCAATTTGGCATTTAAATATTCATCCATTCGTGCATTTGAAATCAAAAGTGCACCATATGTTTAAAGGAGAGGAAATATCTTTCCACTTTAATGTGATAGAGCACTTGATTAAGGCTCTTGGGGCACTAAGTATATAGTCATAATTTTCAACAGTTATGTGCACTTAAGTGTTGATCTAGAATTTGACCAATCTCTACATTAGAATCTCAAATGTCATATTCAAACTTTTCACCAAACACAGATGGGTTTTATCTTGGGTGAGTAGAATCTTGTTGTTAAATGAAATTATTAATGGATATATAGAAATGATGGTGTTGTATAACATATTGGATGAGCTAGAGCACACAATCCCCCTCTTAGGCAATGTGTCTGACAATTTTTGAAGTTTTTTGCTATCCAATTGTAATATGCAGTCTGGCAATTCTAGACATCTTTGCAATCCTTTGCAGTAATAAGCAATCCTAACTTGACATAGGTTGGATTCATATATAGCATTTATATGCCAAAACTATAATGCACACAATTATATTTTAGTTGCTATAATAGCAATTAAAATGTGATTGTGTGCAGTTGAAAACAAGAGCTTGGGTCAAGCACGTTACCTAGCAATAGGATTGTATGCTCTAGCTCATCAAACATGTCATACAACAGTACAATCTTTATCAATCCACTAATAATTTCATTTAGCAGTCACTGCTGCTGTGACTCCTCTAAATCAAACCTTTGATAAAGAGTTTAAGTGCCATGATGTAACATTTGCAATTCTAAGATAGAGATCAATAAGACTCTAGATTGACACCCAAAGTATAGATGATTTTATGGTTTGAAACTAAAAAAAGAAAAAGATGTTGATGTGGCAATAAACTAATATGGATTATATGTGGACATCCATGCATATATAGACTTTGGAAGCCTAGTATTGTTATTTATTGTCACTACCCCCTGTATCAAGATTGGGTAATTTGAGTGCCTGCCACCTTCCTTGGATGTGGATATATAGAACATATGCATATATACCTTGAAAAAAAGTAAATTATTTTGTGTACCACCATTCAAACACATATGTGTTTTAATTTTATATATCTTGCAAGCTTATACAGTTTTTTAGGAGGCCCACCCTATGTGTTTTGGAATTTGAGCATTTCTAAAAGATATCAATAAGAAAAATTTGAATGAGAGGATTGAAATATAAAAGTTTCAAAAGTGAATCTAAATTGCTCTTATGTCTTGTTTTCAAAGTGATCAATACAATATTCCATATGATAGTGTAAACATCAAGTAATATCCAAGAAGTTGGGACAAAGAGAAAAAAACAATGAAGTATATATCAATAATTTAATATATTTTTAAAAGAAAATAAACAGAGAAAGAGTACCCTATGGGAAATGCTCTTCCCGCCTCCCATGTTTTTTACAAAATGATCTGTCATTAACGGTAGCTCAGAAGTAAAGCTTTGCATGCAATTGCTAAGGGGATCGATGCTCTTCAACTCCTGGTTGTTAATAGTGTTCTCTACTTTTCAAATCAAATGACCGTATCTCACCCTCAATGGTACAGCTTGCAAATAAAAAGTCCACGGCCGTGTAATAGGAGTAATTTCTTGAAATGGTGGTAGGGAATTCATCTTATAACTTGGAAATAATCCAGACAACGAATTTCACGAGTCCGGACAAACCGTGGTCGTGAGCGCCAAAACGTGTGGTCGTGCTTCGCACATCCGACTGATAACCAGACGGAATATACGCAACATATCCGTTTGACCAGGACGGAATATACGGTCTTGCGACTTCCTTCTTTTCCTTCCACGCGCTTCGGCGCTCGTCCTCTGCACGACTAGCACGGGGCAAGAACGCCTCTACGCCATGCGCCCTAGGGTTTGGCCGGATAGTGGAGGCGGAGGGGGAGACGATCGCACGTATCCTCGGAGCTCCACCTCGATCATCGACCGGTAAGTGGCCGTAATCCGGCAAATGTAGCTCGCTATCGCATCGATCGCTCGCCCGTCGCCAATGCTATGTCCCGGCATTCTCCTTCTCCGTGATTCTTGAGGCTCGAGATCCCGAACGGCTTGGATGCCAGCAAAATGTCAGCGCCTTCTACATCGCCCCCGGCAACCTCTCCGCCCCTGCCAGCGTCGCCGCCACTCGCCGGGGGCACCCCTCCGGCGCCGGTGATTCTCGCGCCTCCGCCCGTTCCAGTGCTCTCTCCTCCTCCCGCTGCCACTGCTCCTCCTCCTGCGTCGTCTCCCCCGCCGCCACTTCCAGTGGTTTTGTCTCCTCCCCCACAAAATCCGTCTCCTCCGCCTCCTGCCCCTCAGGCTTCACCGCCTCCGTCAGTCCCTTCGTCTCCGCCGCCTGTCCCTCAATCTTCTCCGCCACCTCCTGTGATCGTTGCTCCTCCTCCAGCGGCGTCAGCGTCCCCTCCGCCTCCGGATTTGACACCATCTCCGCCAGCTCCTGTCGTAAACTCTCCACCGCCGCCGAATCCCACTGCTCCTTCTCCGCCAGCTCCGCCGGACGAATCCGGCTCCCCGCCACCATCGTCATCTGATCCAGGCTCCTCGGCCCCGCCTCCTCGTCCTTCGAGAAGGCTCTCGCCACCTCCTCCAGCGGGTGACTCTTCGCCACCTCCTCCAGCGGATGACTCGTCGCCACCTTTGCCGGCAGCAACTCCGCCAACGTCCCCTGTAACTCAGTCGCCACCTCTGCTGCCTAATATTACTACGACGGTTCCAACTGGAGTTTCGCCTCCCACCGGCACTCCATCGCTCTTTCCAGGAACACCAAGTCCGCCTGCTGTTCTATCGCCGCCAACGTCTATACCGAATGGCCAAACAGGTTCGTCTGGCGTTGCGAGCTCAACGATCGTAGGCATTGCTATCGGGGGCGTGGTGGTCGTGGCAATGCTGGTCCTCTTGGTCGTTTGCTTTTCAAGGAAGAGAAGAAGATCGGGCACCGGGAACACACAGAACTTTGGAGCAGCTCACTCGTTTTATCACAAGGATGGTGAGCAGTTTGACGTTCTCTCTTTCTTTTCTGAATTGATTTATCTCAGGGGCAGACACTTACTATGATCCGGGACGAAGATTTGATTCCGGTTACTCGTCCGCGTCTGATGCAAATGGAAAGCCATTCTTTCCTCCAATGCCACCTTCAGGCTCTCTTGGGCATGCACCTACGAGAGGACAGGGGTCCAATGGATCTTTCTTTAGCTATGAAGATCTAGCACAGGCTACCAACGGGTTTTCTAGAGCCAACATGCTTGGAGAGGGAGGCTTTGGCTGTGTATACAAGGGAATCTTACCAGGGGGACAGGAGGTGGCTGTAAAACAGCTCAAGATTGGAGGAGGACAAGGCGAACGTGAATTTCGGGCGGAAGTGGAGATTATCACCCGGATCCATCATCGTCATCTTGTAACATTGGTAGGCTACTGCATTTCTGAAACTCAGCGTCTTCTTGTCTATGAGTTCGTTCCTAATGGCACATTAGAACATCATCTCCACGGTAAAAGGGCCACCGTTTTTTCGGGAAAATGTTTGACTCTTACAAACTTTACAGGCAAAGGCAGACCTTTACTTGACTGGAGTTTAAGAATGAAGATTGCTGTTGGCTCTGCTCGGGGCTTAGCGTATCTTCACGAAGATTGTAAGTTCCTTTGATTTCGCGTACTGTTTGTTTAACGGCTTGGACAGGTCATCCGAAAATTATTCATCGCGACATAAAATCGTCTAACATATTACTGGATAGTAACTTTGAAGCTCAGGTACAGAGGTCGTTTGTATGTCGTTTTCTTCTTTTGTTGACGGATATCTGTATGTTTCAACAGGTAGCCGACTTCGGATTGGCAAAGCTTGCATCCGATGCTCACACACACGTCACTACTCGAGTTATGGGAACATTCGGGTAAATTCTCTGAAGTCAGATAGGATTGTTCTGTTCTGAGCGTTATCTTTGTCCGTCACCAGGTACTTGGCGCCTGAATATGCTTCCAGTGGAAAGCTCACGGACAAATCCGACGTTTATTCTTTCGGCGTAGTTCTACTCGAACTGATTACTGGCCGCAAGCCCGTAGACACATCTCAGCCTCTTGGGGAGGAAAGTTTGGTTGAGTGGGTACGTACTCCTTGACGTTGTTGCCCATGCCTTTTTCTTACACAGTGCTCCTGCATTTTCAGTCTCGACCATTGATAAACCAGGCGCTAGAGACACAAAACTTGGATCTTATGGCCGATCCATTGCTGAATGAATACAGCAAGGACGAGATGCTTAGGATGCTCCGATCAGCCGCGGCATGCGTTAGACACTCAGCTAATAAGCGACCAAAAATGGCACAGGTACGTACCGGAGCATTTGATGCGATGCGTCTACGGTTCTCTTCGCGCTGCGCGTGTATTTCTGCGTGATTGATGGATTGACGCTGATCTCTCATTTTTTATGCCCTTTTTACTTGCAGATCGTTCGTGCTCTGGAAAGTGATTCAGATTCGAGGCCCGGGTTTAGTGGCCTGCACGACTCGCCATTCGCCAGTGACGACTATGATTCGACACAGTATAGCACCGACCTGCGGAGATTTAGAAAGATGGCACTGGGCACCAGCCAGGAATACGGCAGCGAATACAGCGGCGCGACGAGCGACTATGGTGTCAATCCCTCCGTCTCCAGCGGCGAGTATCAGCAAAGCAAGGACTGGACGCCACCAAGGAGTGGCCACGAATCCGAGTGGCCACTGAGAAGCCGGCAACAATGATAGCTGCTAAAGATCAGAGGGACAAACAAAGCGGACGAGAGAGGCAAGCAACACTTGATGCCGGCTGCTGTCATGGAGTATCCAACGTGTTTTTTTTTTTTTTTTTTTTTTTGCTTTCATGTCTGTTTTTCCTTTTTGGATCTCAACGCACTGACAGCTACCTTGCAGTAACAGAGCAAGCTAAGCGGAAGAACTCAAAAATGTGAAAAGATTCGAAGCAACCGGGAGTCTGTGTCGTGATTGATCGTTGGCCACTGACGCCAATATTCTTTGCTTTGCACGCCCAGATTAAGTATATTGTAGCTAGAGTAGCTACAACCTTTTTGATATAGAACGAGCAAATGGATATGTTACAGTGATCTATCTCTTCTATAGGTAGTGATTTTCTTTGTCTTGCTTTGGTGTGGATCTAACTCGAGGAATGATATCGTCGTGTGTAGGAAGTAAAGATCCTTGTCAAGCGAAGATGATGACGATGGCGATGGTGGTATAATGCGTCTGTACAATCTCGCGGGTGGTGGTCAGTCGACAAGAGCAAACGAAACTCTTTACAAGGCCGCTGCTCTAGATGTGGAAGGGGCCGAGTCCTTGGAGGTGATGAGGCCCAGGCTGTAGAGAATGCGCTCCGAGTGTAACTTAAAGAAGGCCGCCAGCGAGAACCTTGGCGATGGCGAGTCGTCGAGGCCGAGCAGCTGGGGGCAAACCGGGGCGCTCCTCACGTTGAGCATGGCCTGCCCGAGCTCCTCGCGGATGGCTTCCACGGTTCTCATGTCCACGGCGTCGCCGGAGGCCGCGTCCGTGACGTAGAAGGTGTTGGCTACCGTGCCGGCCCGTGTGGTGGAGACGTGGGCCCGGGTGACGCACAGGCCGTGGCGATGAAAGACTTTGGTCACGTCCGAGAGCAACCCCACCCGGTCATAGGTGCAAAGCTCCAGCCGCAGCCCCTACAATGGATGGATCGAACAAACAATCGCGTCAGGCACACATAAAGCGCGGGTCTCTTTCTTTTACTTCCGGTTCCAACAAGAAAGTACCTCAGGGAATCGCCTTTGAATCGCGGCAACCAGGCGCTTTATGAGCCGCTGCCTTTCTTCGTCCGTCTCCAGCGTGCAGCCGTCAGTGTGACGAATGTAGAACTCCTGCACGGGCGTAGCTAGCGTGATGAGTCCGGCAAAAGAAGCAGAAGAAAGTTGGAAGAAGCAACAAGTTCCTGTACCTGATAGGCAAAGTACCCCTCGGAGAGGATGGTGGCGTGGAAGATCATGTAGTCCATGTCTGTCAGCGTGCAAACAGTGTCAAAAAGGAGCTTGGAGCGGTCCCGGCAGTGAATGTTCACTACTGAGTAGCCCCGCTCGACGCAGTTCCGGACCGTAACAGCGGGTCTGCCTTTCCCGTTTACCGTGCGCTGCTCCGTCTCGTCGCCAAGTCGTCCCTCGAGCTCGCGACTTTCGCCGGAGTGATCTTCGTCAGCGGACATCATCTGGTGTAGCCTCCGCTCCATGTGTGTCAAACCCGAGAAAAAGTCGGCCGTCCTGCCGGCACCGCCACCTCGCTCGCCGTCGTTGGCACGGATCACGCGGCACAGCCGGTCCTTGATGTCTTTAAGTTTGTCACAGTCCTCAATGGGGCCACCGCTGCTGCAAGCGTTATCCACGAAGATCATGCCGGCGACTCTGAGGTTATGTGTCCACACGGCGGCGGAGCGGACGTTGCAGTTCATGCTGCTGAGCGTTGAGAAGACCTCGGACAGCAGGCCTGGTCGGTTGGGGCCTGAAAGTTCAATCGCAGTGTGTTGGTGAGGACCTGTTCCCAGGCTGACGCGGGTGATCTCTCCTCCCTCAGCGGAGCATACCTTTGAAGGATTGGAGCACTTGGATCCAATCCAAGGCATCTCTGCCGCTTTCTTCTCCAGCGACTGGTCGGCAGAAAGAAAGAAATGAGCTTTGACACTCAACCATTGTTGGGAATCCACATACCTCCTGGATGAACTTGAGAACTTCCTCGTCGGTGATCTTGTTCCCGTCGATATCGGTTACGTGAAATACTGGCAAAAGAAAAACAAGAACAGTGCGATGCGATCGATCAAAAGAGAACGGGATTGATCACATACCATCCATGAACCAGCCAGCGTCGGACGAAACATAGGCCTTGCTGATGAAGAGATCGAGATCAGTCAAGACTTGGACAACCTCCAACAAGATTCCATGGCGATTGACGCTGTCCAGCTGCAAAAGATACACATCTCAGGCATCCCATCCCTCGCAAATCCAAATCTAAGAGCGCAATGCGCAGAAAGTTTTTCTAGAGAGTACCTTGATCACCGTCGCATCTGTAAATGCCGCATTCTCGATCACGACCCTGAGAGGAGGAAAGCAAGATCAATCTAGCTTCCAGAGCCTAGCTAGCGCGAAATCTTTCACTCTGGATAGATACCTCGGTGGATTCAAGCTCGCGTTGAGCGACTCATACTCCGGATCGAAATACGCCCAGCCTCGACCCGCGGTGACCACGACCATGGCGATCGATTTCGACGACTGACCGATTGATCGCTGAAAGGAAGCGCCCAAAATATCGAGCGCGCGGCCGAGCAGCAGAGATTACTGCCGATCCCAGCCCCCTAGGTCGGCTTAGACCAGCGGGCGAATGACGCGAGCGAGGGGCCTCGTCCGGCCCGCGATCCCGCACAGATCCGAACGAAAATCTACACAAACGATGAGAGCTCCCGCCATGCCGCGCTGTGCCCAGCTACTGACGACGAAATCAAGGCGCTCCCATCGAGAAGAAACGGACATTCTTCCCTAGCCCCTGTATGTTGTTCCTCTTCGTCTCTTCTGGCGATGCTGGGCTCTTTAAAAATCAAAGGCGAGAGCTCTTTAAACCGGACCCCGCGTTTTAACGGTAGGTAATGCACGAAACTTAAACGGCGGCGCGCCGGCCGTTGGATGCCGGTGGAACGGCTGCGATGCGAGCCCGCCGTCCGTACAGAGACATGGGAATGGGCCGGGAGGGGCGGGCGCGAATCGAATGGGCGCTTTTCAAAACTTTGGCTTGGTACAGCTCCATCAATTATTCGCTTTGCATATTCGCATTGGTGTGAAGTATTCCTACCCGTCGAACAGGATATTCTCCTTTCCAAAGCCTTAACTTAGACCGTGGGCGGAGCGGCGCCTGGTACGTTTATTTTCTTGTGAGCTTCGTAACTAGGCATGCTACGCGTGCCAGATCGAAGAGCGCTGCTCATTCTCTGAATCTAACTAAACCTCGGGTTTAGAGTTTGATACAAGGCAATGTTGGACCAAAACAATGCGAATGGTACGTTGTTTTGATTATTTGCATCCGGTGGCTGCTCCAATTGCGGCAAGACATAATGTCAGTGACCACGACGCACACAAGTTGGTTGTCAGCTGTCCAGAGAAGTTGGGTGGCGCCATCTCGCTGTGAGTCTTTCATAAACTTCACGAATTCTTATCATTTTTTATTTTTTATTTAAATTTATTTTGCGGTACTGCTTCTCATAACGCTGTTACAGGCACACAAAACTAGCTGTTTTCGTACGAGAGTGCTGGAGAAAATCGTTCGTGATCGCTAAGACAGTCCCGGATCAATTATCACGCCAAAAGGTTCGCGTAGAGGCATTGTTTTTGCTCCTTGTCCGTGTAGCTACTCCAAGAGTATGTGTTGTTGCTGCGAAGTCTTCTTCAATCCCACCAGATCGATTGGGATTGCTGTCGAATCAGTCACAGAGTCTTGTTTTGATTTGCTTAGGAATAATATAGAGTTTGGTCGCGGTTCCTTGTCAGTTCTTATCCCTTGAGAGGTGTGTCGGTTTCGATTCCTTTCCGGCACTCCTAGGAGTGGAATAGAAGTCCTTTAAGCCCTACTCACTGCATTCATTCTCTCAATCTCGAAAGGACGCTGTCGCTCAACCTTTTATCTTCAAGCAGGTTCTCTCCAACACTTCTGGTTCTGTGCTTCTTCTTTGTTCATGTTTTTCTGTCTTGTTTGAATCTCCTTTTGCAGAATTGGAGTTCCTGTTCTAGCTAAGCTTTCTGTCTTGTTTGAATTTCCTTTTGGAGAATTGGAGTTCCTGTTCTAGCTAAGCTTTCTGTCTTGTTGAATTTTCCTGAAGATTCTTCCAAGTCTTTCTTCCTGCCCACTCTTAGTGCTGCTATCATGATCTTTGACGAGCTGGCGTTTATTCGAATGTGTTGAGAAATTTTTGCGGGTTCTAATGCTTGCTTTCCGTGTGTGCATCATGAGCTTTGACAGGTTGTGTTCCATTCGATTCGTGCTCTTTGTGCTTAGAAACACGAGGTGAATCGTCATCTCGCAGAGATTGCTCGTATCATGCGCGATCTTTGACGGATTCCCCCTCACTCGAATTTCTTTGCTCCAGGGTCCACAGGCATGAGAGAAATCCTTCACATCCAGGGTGGTCAGTGCGGCAATCAGATCGGTGCAAAGTTCTGGGAAGTTGTGTGCGACGAGCATGGGATCGATCCGACCGGGAGCTACACCGGGACGTCCGAGCTTCAGCTGGAAAGAGTGAACGTTTACTACAATGAAGCCAGTGGGGGCCGCTACGTTCCTCGCGCTGTGCTCATGGATTTGGAGCCTGGCACCATGGATAGCCTGAGATCCGGCGTCTACGGACAGATATTCCGGCCAGACAACTTTGTCTTTGGACAAACTGGAGCCGGAAACAACTGGGCCAAAGGTCATTATACAGAAGGTGCCGAGTTGATCGATGCTGTTCTCGATGTTGTTCGCAAGGAGGCTGAGAACTGCGACTGCCTGCAAGGTAAAATGAACGAAAACCACACTTTGAAGCAAAAAAGAATTTTTTTTTTTTTTTTTTGTTGAGCAGGATTCCAGGTCTGTCACTCTCTTGGTGGAGGAACTGGGTCGGGCATGGGAACGCTTCTCATATCCAAAATCAGAGAGGAGTACCCGGACAGGATGATGCTTACATTCTCGGTGTTCCCTTCTCCCAAGGTTTCTGACACGGTGGTGGAGCCATATAATGCAACTCTGTCGGTTCATCAGCTCGTGGAGAACGCAGACGAGTGCATGGTGCTAGACAACGAGGCTCTCTACGACATATGCTTTAGAACACTCAAGCTCGTCACTCCTACATGTACGTTCTCCTGTTTTGTTTGGTATATAAGTTAAGGGTGTTTGTTTCATCCAGTTGGAGATCTAAACCATCTCATCTCCGCAACCATGAGTGGGATCACTTGCTGCCTTCGTTTCCCCGGGCAACTCAACTCGGACCTCCGGAAGCTGGCCGTCAACTTGATCCCGTTCCCTCGCCTCCACTTCTTCATGGTGGGATTCGCGCCGCTCACCTCCAGAGGCTCGCAGCAGTACCGCTCGCTCACGGTCCCGGAGCTGACGCAGCAGATGTGGGACGCCAAGAACATGATGTGCGCCGCGGACCCGAGACACGGGCGATACCTCACCGCGTCCGCGATGTTCCGCGGCAAGATGAGCACCAAGGAGGTGGACGAGCAGCTCATCAACGTCCAGAACAAGAACTCGTCCTACTTCGTCGAGTGGATCCCAAACAACGTCAAGTCGAGCGTGTGCGACATCGCTCCAAAGGGGCTCAAGATGTCGTCCACCTTCGTGGGGAACTCGACGTCGATCCAAGAGATGTTTAAGCGGGTGAGCGAGCAGTTCACGGCCATGTTCCGGCGGAAGGCGTTTCTTCACTGGTATACGGGCGAGGGGATGGACGAGATGGAGTTTACCGAGGCCGAGAGCAACATGAACGATCTGGTGTCCGAGTACCAGCAGTACCAGGACGCGGCCGTGGAGGCGGACTACGAGGACGACGATGAAGAACAGGCAGCGTGAAAAAAACTTAAGTTTGCGAGATATGTTTGCGTGTGGTCTGTGTGTGTGTTGTGAAGTAACATTTTCTCCTCTATATGATATACCTACTTGACTTTACGTGCCAGAAGATTTCTCCCGCTTGAACCGTGTTATCGGAAGCTACATTGTCAGCGCACAGGGCCACAGGACATTGACCATCCCTCCGGATCTCGCTGTATGTCACTCGCACCATGGAAGTGGGTGTTCAAGGGTGATATTGTAAATGTGGAGTTCCTGGTTCATCGGATTCTCCTGCTATGGTTGTTTGGCGAGCCCAACAATTTAAATGGCACCATGACTACTAATGTTTGGCTAATTTGACAATAAAAACGGTTGTAAGCGCCCTTCCACATGAGACTGTGCAAACAAGTTTGTAAATTTGTTGTGTTCCTTGCAGTCCAGGCCGTGACATCTTGCTTGGCATTCTCATGCTTCTTGGTGGGCACCGCAAGACTGCCAAAACAGAATATAATGATAATAATAATAATAATTTCATTGCTTCGAATAACCCGTGGTGAGACTAATTTATTTCATTGAATGCCATGATAAGTGATCTTTAAAATTTGGTGTAGACCTCCTGGGGGAGCCTTGGACTGGCCATGGCTTGCAATGGGGTCTCGAGCTTCAGAGCACTGCGGTAAACCTCTTCCATGGACGGCATTGTCCCAGGCACAAAGCTCCAATTGAAGCCATGGATGAGATTTGCCACGAGCAGCTCCACCGATCGCAATCCCATGCCCATTCCCGGACACTTTCTCCGCCCGGAACCAAACGGGAGGAGCTCAAAGTTGTGGCCTTTGACATCGATGGAGCTCCCCAAGAAGCGCTCCGGGTGGAATTGTGTGGGATTCTCCCACACTGCCGGATCCATTCCAATCGCCCATGTATTCACCAGGAGAGTGGTCCCTTTTGGAATGTGAAAGCCGCCAACGTTTGCTGCTTGCCTTGAGATGCGCGGCAGGAGTAAGGCTCCCGGGGGATAGCGTCTGAGTGATTCCTTGAGGACAATCTGGAGGTACTCAAGCTTTTGCAGGTCCGACTCTTGTACCATCCGAGTGTTGCCCACAACCCTCTCGAGCTCCTCGTGGAGCTTGGCCATGACTCGAGGATTGTGCATCACTGCACCCATGAGCCACTCGCTGACGGTGGTGGTGGTATCAGTTCCAGCAATAAACATCTCCTGGGCATTTGTAGCATAAGAAATACCTGTTAGTCAATCAAGGAGAAGTTTTGCAAAAAGCTTACCATGAGATTCGCCTTTACGTAAGTCTCCCCTTGTGTCCCTGCTCCAAAGAAGTCGAGCATGATATCCAGGAAGTCCTTGCATTCCCGTGTCCTCTCTTTGTGCTCCTCAACAATCTTTTGCAAGAACTCGTCTTGCTTGGCATGGATTCGCTTGTAGCGAGGGATCTGCCAGTCCAGCCATCGCAAGTACCAGGGCACCAAGTTGCTAACACAGGGATTGATCGCCAGCTCAAGAACATTGTCGTTGAGCTCCTTGAATTCCATGGCATGGGCATCTACGTTTTCATCACCAAAGTACCTCTTACCCATCAAAATTCGTGATGTGACGTTGAAGGAGAAAACACTGGCCACTTTTCTCACCTCCACAGGTTTGCCATCGCCATGGGCCTTCAAAATTCCCTCCAAGGCACGAGAAAGCTCATCCCTTCTGACCCAGGAGAAGGAGTCGATACACTTGGCCGTGAAGAGCTCCATTGTACAGAGCTTGCGGGTGTTTCGCCATAGCTCTCCATAGGGACTACTTGAACCTCCAGAAAAGTTATAGATGAGGTGCTTCCAGAAAGCCAAGTATGGCCTGGAAGCAAAATTTAAATCGTGTGCGGTGAAGACCTCCTTGGCAAGCTCCTGGCTGGATATTACCACAGTTGGGATCATTCCCAGCCTCAAGGAAGTAATAGGACCATACTTGTTGGCTATGCGTTGCAATGCTCTGTGCGGGGGCATTCCTGCTAGCAAGTGTAAGTGGCCAATCAGGGGTAATCCCCATGGACCTGGTGGAAGATTTGAGCCAGCTTTCAAGAACCACAAGATCAAGAGAGCAATGAAAATTAAGAAGCTCACAGCAAGTGCTAGATCCATTTCTGTGGTGCTTGTGTCAATATTTTCCCGACTTTTGAAGCGACTTGGAAGCCTTGGAGTGGTCAGTAGCTGTCTTTCTGTGCTAGATCCATTTCTGTGGTGCTTGTGTCAATATTTCCGGACTTTTAAAGCGACTTGGAAGCCTTGGAGTGGTCAGTAGCTGTCATGAACAGTTTTTCTAGCTTTTTCTCCATAGTTTTCAATTCTAGATTCCCAATTCCAGATAAAATCCACCCAAATCTGCCTCGATCAATGCCAGATGCATCCATGCTTGCATTTCCCAAGACCAGGCATGCGGCACGAGAAGTTCCTGGCGAACTTGCTCATAGGAATTTGTGGAAGTGTTCTAAACCTCGTGTCTTAATTCATGTATTTGAAAAAAAAACCCTTGATATGTAAAATTCAGAAGCGTTGTTCAAAAGCATGGCCAAGATAAATATAGTGTCCTTGCGATTTGGAATCTAGGAGTATTTGCCACAAATGGTCTTTGTAAAATCTTTGTTATGTGTTTGAAACTATGACTGAATAGAGCATGTGCCTATGTTGAGGTTTTGTGATGTTGGATGCCCTCTTAGAAGTGCTAGATATTTCTGTATCATTGATATTTTAAGAATTTACAGGTTGTATGTGTTTAGGAAGCCTTGGAGTGGCCAGCTCCAATGGATACTTCATCAGGCAGGCCCTTACCTCAAAAAACCAAGGTATTGATACTAGTTTAGCATTTAATAGATTACTTATGAAAAACTTAGTTGAGACTACTACTTACAAGTAGATTAGCATCACTATTAACCATTTTTGGGTTAATGAATTTTTGAATAAACAACTTACTTATAATCACAAGGATATGATATAAGAATTATAATGTCTTGACAAAAGCCTATATTACTACTACAAAGATTGACACTAGTATTAAGTGTTAACTCTAATCAACAAAATGCAATATAAATGTTATACCCCATTATTAAAGATTTATAGGCAAGCTCATGCCACTCTCTTTCTGACTAAACTTAAAACTAATTTAATACTAAATTACTTAAGGAGAAATAGTAAGGTTTTCTAGAAAAGAATTGAGCATTACAACTTAAATATTCTGATAGCAAATATAAGTAAAATGCTTTAGTGCTTTATTGCTTTCTAATCTATGATATACCACTTCTAAGACCACCATAACCAATATATATTGAAGTAGGGACTCTCAATTGTATAATATGAATACAAGCAATGAGATCACATCTTATTACAAATTGCCTTTCAAAAAAGAGAAGATTATTTACATATTTGATCATTCATCCATGATAACTCTCTTTTCAAATTAAACCTTAAATTTATATTTGCACTACTTTAAATTCAATCTAAGAAAAGTTTGTAAAAAAGCACAATAATGACTACTTGAACCAGTAGATTAATCTCTATACTCTTGATTAATCCACTCGTAATCATGCCTAAGAAGAATTCACTAATGTCATGCTAAACAATTACAAACTAACCTATTCACCAATTATATGGAGGTATACTTTTACCCTAATATAGTAATAACTCATGGATAGGCTAATATCAATCCTTAAGTATAAGTTCATACATCTCAAAACCACCTAATGAGCCCAAGCAAAAACTCATATAAAGTTGTATAAAATATTATGTGCCAAAATCCATACCCAAAGCTATATGTAAAGCTATAACAACCAAACATATACCCATTTGGATTATTATTTTCATCTTTGCATATACAATAAGATTAGTTACCCAATTTTATTACATAAAAATCATTGAGACTAATCCTTTTGATACTAAATATAGTGCACATGGTGTTCATCCTATACTCTATGATAGGATAACCATGAAATAGAATTTAACCCTTAGATCTGTGTGCCAAGGGCAATCAAGCATAAGTTTTGGGCCACTAAATGAAGGGATAAGATATAAGCATATTGTAAGCTCCTAAATTTAAATTTCCCGAGAGGTAACTTAGCCCAATACTATTTAAACCCAAGGACATGTAACCCCAAATATCTCAAGGGGGTGCACTCTTATTCATAAGCCCTTTTCCCTCTTTATTTAAATCCTAATAGACTATATTTCATATTATTCTATTTGGCTATATTTATAATCCACCACACTTTCTTGTAAGTTCACGCCCTCATGAACGGAAGTTAAGAGCCACAACTCTCCCAAGAGTTTCCCTCTCTTAACATTTTACCCCTCAAGTCGAGCCTACCAAAAGGCAAATTAAACTTACTAGATATCAATCTCAACATATAGTGTGATTCCCCTAGCCAACTAATAGAATCGTATCTAAAACTCTTCTAATACCAAACATAAGCTCTTAAATTTAGACTTCTTGAGAGGTCATTTAGCTTAGTATTATTCAAACCTAAGGATGTTTAATCCTAAGTGTTTTAAGACTATTAACTAATTGAAAAAATGAGATGCACTTTTATTATAGGCCTTTTTCCCTTTATATTTGAATCTTTATAGACCATCTTTTAAATTGTTCTCTTTAATTGCTTACACATACTTAAGGAAGGAAGGAATAGAACTACAAAACAACACTTAAATAGTAGTATCTCAACACTAAAATTAATATCAAAACAGAGTCAAATGGAGTTTAACACTATTACAACATACCAATGGCTTGATATAAGGATATAGGTATACCACTAGTTAACTTGGTATAGAGCTTTAACTTAAACTTAAGTTAGATGTAAAATAAGGATAAATACACCCAATAAAGAACTAGATAATATTTCAAATTAGTCAACCAATACTTACTACCCTTAATATACATTTAGAACCCCCTATAGACCTATATGAAAGCATGTTTTTAGTCTCTGAAAAACTCAAAAACTTACTAAATATGAAATGATGCTAGATTATGAATTTGGACATAGGAATAACATTATTGTGTTGAGGACATTTTCTACATTTTGTAGATGTAACTAATTAGTATATCTAAACACTTTCTATAAATAGTTGATAGAACTTAAATTGGACCAACACATAGGGCATGATAGTAAGGGTGTTTGGTAAACATAGTAAATTATCATGTAGTAAATATTAAGGGATGAAACTCAATATCATAAGCGAGTGAAAACCAATGGATGATTTTCTATAATTGGGAAAATAGGTGCACTTTTGTTCATTGGCCCTTTCCTTTTATATTTGAAACCCAAATCAAATTTGCTTGTTCTATATTTAAACCCTAACAGATTCTCAAACCATTACACTTCCCTACAAGTTCACATCTTCGTGAATAGAAGTTAAAAGGTATAACTCTCCTAAACGTCCCACTCTCTTGACATTCTACCTTTTTGATTAAGCCCATAAGTGAGACACAAAAACAAAGATAAACACACCTAACAAGGAGCTAAATAATATAGTAGGTTAATTAATCATATCTATTATACCATCTTAGAATTTACATTGATAAGTAACTTGATATGAGTTTATTGTTACATATAAACATACCATCGTCAAATCAAGAAAAGGTGAGCCCACTAACATGTAGCTCAGCCTTTAAGCGCCACCTCCATCAGTGCATCTTCATTTAGCAATCCTTGAACCTAGATTAGTTTCAAGGTTTTGTGCAGCCAGTTGAGCATCCACAGAGACATCAATGCCATCAAACTTAGGTATTTGAGCTCGATTTATAACAAAACTCCTACCACCTCAAGAATTCTCCATTTTCTTAATGCACTCACACATGTCTACCAAAGGTTTCAACCTCAAGGATTTAAATATTGTTATTAAGGGTTTGCAATTCTAACACTATATTATCAGTCATCCAAGATTTCACAAATGATTGATGAGCAACTTCCTCTGCAGAATCCATAATAGCAAACTTGCAGATTCTCAAACTCTACCCTTTAATACTAATTATTAGAACCTAATGAAAAATTACCACACTAATGCAAAATGGATCACCACCCAGCCACCCCCAAGCCCTCTATGCGACTCCTTTACCTTCACCATATCTAAAAACCCTTGATTAGTCATGAGCTAATTTGTCATAAAATAAATTGACTAAAGTCATACTTTAAGCCACAATATACTTAACAAATTATCACTAAACAGATCCTCTGTGATCCATCTCTCTATATCAAAATGCAACTCACTTTATAATAACATAATGAGAATTATTAATGATTAATATAACCTCAACTTGTGAGTGCATGGAATATGGAAAGGGAATACAGAAATGTGCATATCAATTAATCCAAAAACCCTAGCTTATATACAGGAGCGAGTGGTTCGGATTGAAACCAATCCGACGGCTACCAAAATCCACTACGCTAATATTAGTATACGGCATCGTAGCCGTACACTTGGCCCTCACATCATCCCCTCCTCTCGGAATAATGGAAGGCCGTCAGGGTTCTCTTGTAGATGGGCCGGGATCTGGAGGAACGTCAGGAGGAGGCATCGGTGGATCTGTAGACGGTATTAACTGCTCCTGATCCCTCTGTATGAAGCGTTTTAACCGCTGCACATGCACAATCTCCGGAGGATCGGCCTGCTGAACGTCATGCCGAACCTCATAAACTTGTGGTCCAACTTGCCGCAACACCCGATACGGTCCTTTCCACTGCGCAAGGAGCCCCTTAGATAAACCACGTACCGTAAGATGGGGAAAATGGACTAACACCAAATCATCCACTTTGTACTCCGCTGGTGGACGATGATGGGAATTGTAGCGCCGTTGTTGTCCCACTTGTACGCGGCCTAAGTGTTCAGCAGACTCTGCTCGGACAAGTGGAAGAATGCTTGTCAAATATTGATCCCATGACCTAGCATCAGGAGCTCGTGGCAATCGCGAAGGTAAACCTAGCTCTGTTGGTAATATTGGATCATGACCATATAGAAGTTTATATGGTGAAGCACCAACAGAACTCTGCACCCCTGTGACATAAGCATACCGAAGAGACGGCAAATAACCATCCCAATCCGAATGTTGAAAGTTCACATACTTCGCAATCATCCCTTTGAATGTCCGAACGAGCCGTTCCACCAGACCGTTTGATTGTGGATGATAAGCACTCGTAAAAGTGTGGCGTATCCCCAACCGAGATGTCAAAACATGAAATACCTCAACCATAAATGCAGGACCATTATCCGAAAGAATCCGTTCTGGACAAGAATGCTGGAACACCACTCGATTGAGGAGGAAGTATCCAACAGCAGTTGCAGAGGCACTAGCAAGAGCACCAACTTCCACCCAACGAGTCAAGTAGTCAGAAGCAATAATAACATACTCATTGCCAGCAGTCGATCGCGGAAAAGGTCCCATAAGATCAAACGCCACCAACTCAAACGGACGAGAAACTGCAATTGACTCCAACCGTCCTTCCGCAGCACAAGGGGGAGTATTACGAGCTTGGCACC